TCAAGCCCAGGAGTTTGAGGCTGCAGTGAGCTATGGTCATGCTCCACTGCGCTTCAGCCTGGGTGACATAGTGAAACCTTTCTTTTTCTTTTTTTTTTTAAGAGACAGTTTCACTTTGTCGCCCTGGGTAGAGTTCTGTGGTTACAGCTCGCAGCAACCTCCAGCTCTTGGGCTTAGGCGATTCTCTTGCCTCAGCCTCCTGAGTAGCTGGGACTACAGGTGCCTGCCACAATGCTTGGCTATGTTTTTTTGTTGTTGTTGCAGTTTGTCTGGGGTCGGGTTCAAATGTGCCACCCTCAGTATATGGGGCCGGCACCCTACACACTGAGCTATAGGCGCCCAAAACTTTGTTTCTTAAAAAATAATTTAAAAATAAATGCAATATTGGTTATTATCAAATCTTTAAATAGATCTTCAGAGTGCAACAGAATGTAAATTATTGCTTCCAGGTCATCAAAATGCACGCATTAGCTAGATTTAGTTCCCATCCTTTTCACCCATTGGCAATGAAAGTGATGGATCCAAAGGCCTCAGATCTGTCTGCTCCTGCAGTTCCCAAGCTGGCGGCGTCCGGCTGAAAGAAGGATGTGGAGCAAGGAGGCTTCGTTGGAACTGACTTCTGAGCATTAATTTATTCCACCAGGAGATCAGTAAATGACCTCCTCCACCTGCTGCCTTCCAAATTTGGAATTGGGTTGCAGCACTGATTTTTTTTTCCCCACCTGGTGGATGAATTTTATAATCAGTCTTAAGGAGAAAGAAGATGGCATTTTACATCACTGCTCTGCCAACTCCTATCTGCATTCAAATTCATACAGTGTCATTTTCCTCCTTTGCAAATCGGATGAGTTGAGGAGCCTCACATTTATGAAACACTAGGTTGCTATTCTTTGGACAGTGCCTAGATGGTGAACTTGAGAGATTTTAATAACAAAAATTCCACGCACCACGGAATGAATAAAGAAACTACAGTGCCATCTGCTGGCATCCTGGGGAATGGCAGGACACAGCCAAATGAGAGGATAAGATTATTCACAATGTGTGATAATTTGAAGAAAGTAGACAAAAATAATGAAAACATTATAAATCATTGTTTTAAAAAGAAAAATACCACTATATTTTGTGAAAATTATGTGATAGTAAGAACTTACCTTTTTCTGCACTGTAAGTTCTGAAGTTTTCTTTTTTTTTTTTTT